TCATGGAGGAGGGATAGAGCAAAAATGAGGCACAGACATAAAACTGGGGAAAATATAGTTATTTTCTATTTTTTGATGTTTAATCTTTTGTGTCTATGTGAAAGTACCGTTTAGTTATGTTAATAATAGGTTTGTTATTAAATAGTATATATGGTTGTTTACTTGTTTTTGGCTTGGTACTTGGTAATACGGGGAATTATCTGAAAATTGTGGGAAAGAGAGAGGAGTTTATCAAACTTGTATTTCTTTTTTCAAATGAAATACAACACACCATTTTGCATCTAGAGATTACGGGAGTCCGGCGACATCGGGCAGGGATAATCATTTCGGTTTAGGTAGACTCATTCTCAAAAAACAATACTGAACCGAGGGAAGCCCTATATCCAGGCAGAGTTACTGTTTTTAATTTAAAAACATGTTTTAATTTTATATATCTCAATGGTCAAACAAATTGACTTGACAATCTATACGTTTTTCAATGTTGTCTTCTTATCGTCGTAAAACCATGTGATTCCTTTTGCAACATTATCTTGTGCATAATCAAACAATCAAAATTTATTATGAGACATAAATAATTATAGTTCGTATGTAATAACAATAGATACTTGTACAAAATTCTCATCAACATATATATCCCTAGTTCTCTGCCTCATTCATTCGTTTCATAGACTTTAACCAATAATTTCTTCTTATCAACAATACGTATAAGCTCATTCTTTGTTTTTTCACCGAATGGCATACCGAGTTCCGGAACATCTATTCCTCTGTTCCAATAAAAAATAGATATTTTGTTTTCGAGATATTAAACAATTTGTCTTATAAACAAAATGATGTAAAAATACTTAATCCAACATATTTTTGAATTTCTTAGTAAGAATATTTGTTGGATGAAATATTTATACCTCATTTTAAACAAATTGTTTAATGTCTTGAAAACAAAATATCTATTTTTTATTGGAACAGATGAATAGATGCTCCAGAACTCGGTATATCATTCGGTGAAAAAACAAAGAATGAACTTATACGTATTGTTGATGGGAAGAAATTATTGGTTGAAGTCTATGAAACAGATGAATGGGGCAGAGAACTTAGGGATGTATATGTTGACGGGAATTTTGTACATGTATGTACTATTATTACATACTAAATATATTTGTTTCTATCTCATAATAAATTTTGATTGTTTTGATGATGTAGAAAATCATGCTGCAAACGGATATGCATGGTCTTATGACTATTACGATAAGAGGAATGACACATTGGAAAAGTTACAGATTATCGTGTCAATTTGTGTGACTATTAAGATTTATAAGAATAGAACGTGTTTTTAATGTAAAAAACAGTGGGAAAATGAAGCGCGAGAAAAAAAAGATAAGATTAATCTTCATTTATTATTTTTCTTAATATATATCAATGTTATTATATCTAAATTAACTTGAGTATAAAATTCATAAAAAGCGAGATAATCTATTACAAACAAATTGCGAAATGTCAATGTTATTATATTTGAATGAATTTGAGTATAAAATTCGAATAAAAATTGAGATACTCTATTGCAAACAAAAAGGAACACATTAATCTTAATTAATTATTTTACCTTCAAAATATTAATAACTATTTTTCAATACCATGGATTATTACATTAACCATCTCTATAAATTATACAATACAAAACTAGTAATTGACTTAATTAATAAGTTCAATCAAACTTAAAAAAAAATGTTTGCACGAATATAAGGCAACTTCACTAATATTATTTCGAGTAAACACTTTGTTTACTTTCACGCATTCTCGAGATTTGGAAAGATCCACAGTACAATATATTTTTTCTTTGACGCATTCTCGAGATTATAAAAAGACATTACAACAAAACAATATTGTTAATTGTAACTATATAAGTGCTACATTCAATCTTGAGAACAAAGTAATTTAATTTTTTAAATACATATCAATGTTATTATATTTGAATTAACTCGAGTATAAAATTTATAAAAATTGAGATACTCTATTGCAAACAAAAATGAACACATTAATCTTCATTAATTATTTTACCTTCAAAAGATTAATAACTATTTTTCAATACCATGGTCTCTTACATTAACCATCTCTATAAATTATATAAAACTAGTAATTGACTTAATTAATAAGTTCAATCAAATTTAAAAAAAATATGTTTGCACGAATATAAGGTAATTTCACTAATATTATTTCGAGTAAACATATTTTTTACTTTCACGCATTCTCGAGATTTGGAAAGGTCCACAGTCCAATATATTTTTTCATCCCAATGATCCTAATTAGTTTTTTCTTTACCTCTTCCTAGAATGACATACTGTTGCTATTGATGTTATTGATATTATTGACTTGCATACCCTATTTGATAATTTGAGAATGTGACGATTAATGAAGATTAATATGTTCATTTTTATTTGAAATAGAGAATCTAAAATTTTCAAGTACTTCACACTCTTGTTGGGTAAACTAAATTTTCATCTAACAAAGTTTAATGTAGAAACTTTACATGTTAGAAAGCTTTTAAATCAATTATTTTTTTGGTTTATCGTATTGTTAGAAACTTAGTTAATTAATGATATATCAAGTTGGTAAATATTATGTATCGGATTGACATAAATATTTTCGTTGATGAAGAAAATTATCATTAGGCACTTCCGCGTATCCCTCTTGAAGTAAAACATGAAATGAAACGTTTGGCGAGCTAAATATCATTGGACATTATCGTCGTCTAACACAACTTTCTTATCAATCTGATATATTCTTAATTAGTAAAGTTATTAACAGTATAATAAAGAGAGTAAGTCTGTTACAGATGAGAAATCCAAACACTTCGTTCTAGATAACTTGTTAACTTTTAATGTAGAAAATCTCATATATAAAGAGAATAAAAATTATTTAATTTTTCGATGTGGGACAACACTTTATACGAGTTATAACTTTGATAATTGCACCCTTGCACCTTAATCCACGTAGTCATTTGTTCTCAACCGTCGGATCTACATACTTTGAATTGTGACACTCAGACATGGAGGAGACAGGAGTTGTGGTGACTGCCTATTTTAACGCTCTTACAGACGCGTGCAGTGGAAGAGACAGACGCGTTTGTCGTCGTCATGGCCTTGAAAATCAAGTAGGCTGTCAAAATCCCTGTCATGGTAGAAGATCAAATCGGTGCCTATTGCGTGGGCGAGAGCGAGGTAAGATGATCACATCAACATGCAACAGTTTCATAATCCCCTCCTCCTGCGATTGCGGTAATCTCGGTGATAGATCCGTTAAGGAGCCGCACTGGGATGAAAAACGTGGTCGAGACGGTGAGGCAGGTGGCGGGTGAGATCCGTTTGCTGAGGAACAAGGACGAAGACGAGCGAAGAATCGATTAAAGTGAAAATGAAACGATTATATAGAAAAAGTTCATTTTTCGACCACGTATTCTTATTGAAGTAAAATATGAAATGAAACAATTCGCGAACTAAATATCATTGGACATTATCGTCATCTAACACAATTTTCTCTGTCAACATGATATATCATTAATTAATAAAATTACTAACAATATAATAAATTAAAAAAATTAATTGATTTAGAAGTTTTATAACCCGAAAAATTTTAAGTTCTAATAGAATTTTATCTAGTGAAGAGTTGGACTCTTCAACGGAGAGTTAACATTAGTGTTAAATCTATGAAAAGTTTAGCCTCTCTATTATAAACAAAAAAGAGCACATTTATCTTAATTAATCATTTCTCTTCTCAAAACATTAATAACTATTTTTCAATTTCATAAACTTCTACTCAATCATCTCTATAAACTTTACGGAATTAATAGTTAAATTAATTAACAAGTTAAATCAGATTTTGAAAAAATGCATGTCTGCACGATAACGTAAGGAAACTTCTATAGTATTGTTTTGTTTTAGCGCATGCACATTTTCTAGTCCTACGCCTTTTGGGATTTTGAAAAGCCCATAATTCAATACCTTTTACATTAAAAACATGTTTTAATTTAATGAATCTTATTGATCAAAACAAACTAACATGATTATCTATACCTTTACAAAATTCATTCGATTGTCGTAAGCTATATAATGCCATGCTAATCTCTTTCTTAATATCATTTATTTCATTATTAAACCATAAATTTTTATTATTGGAGATATAAGTGATTATAGTTAGTATACATTAAATTGCACAATATCTTTATACAAAAGTTTTGTTGGTATACACATCCATTACATATTTTCTATACGCATCTTCTTCACATACCGAGACACTCAATCTTTTCCTCGCGACGAAGAGTGACCGGCAGCCAGAGACATGTCAATGTTAACCTCGACATCCATGCATATCATTATCTAAAGCAAAATAGACTCAACTCATTAAAAAAAAAAAGAATCATGTTTATAATGGAAAGAAATGAGTTGCCGACCACTTGAATGGATCGGTAAATCACGTACAAGTGTCGAATACTAGGTAGCCCCCTCGTGAAAAAAAAGAGAGGACATATCTACACAGAACCAAAAAGCAAATACGAAATGGTCTCGTTTTGTCATGTCACACGAAATAATCATACATGAAATTAGTGTAACGGTTGAATAGCTCAATGTAAAATTTTTTGGGTAATGAAACACTAACCTTTGACAAAAAAAAATTAATGACCTTTCCTTTCATACATAATCCAATTATTTTAATTAAATAAATAAAAATACAGGGTTTATCCAATTTTTTCAACGTGGAATCCCGTGAATTACGTGGGTGTAGGGTATTCAAAATCCAATTGATTTACAAAAAAAAAAATTGTAAATAAAAAGTAAATGTTGCCAAGTGGAGGCAAATTTATCAACAAAGTTAGAAATCAGAGACAAACAAGTGCACCATTAACTCCACAAACCTAACTCAAAAATCTGACCAAAAGTCCACAAATCTTTCCTCAACCGTCCTCCTTTGTCTCCCCCTCATTCCATTAAATGCCCTTCTCCTCCATAAATACAATCTACTTGATCACCATCATCTCTCGTCATCTCCAATCACAGGAAAAAATGGCGACTAGCCCTTTCGTCTTCGTTCCTTTCCTTCTCCTCCTCTTCACCACCTCTCTTTCTGAAGCAACCCGTCAAAACCCATCAGGCGATGCCGGTGTCGATCCCGGGTTTGGCGGTTACTTCGGACCCGGATCCGGGTTCGGAGGAATACCCGGGTTCGGGAACGGGTGGAGCGGCGGATACGGTGGTGGATACGGGGGTCCGAGCGGTGGGTACGGGAAGGGAGGAGTGATCAGGCCGACGGTGGTTTGCAGAGAAAAGGGTCCTTGTTTCGGTAAGAAGCTGAGGTGTCCGGCCAAGTGCTTCTCCTCTTTCAGCCGCTCCGGCAAGGGCTATGGAGGCGGCGGCGGCGGCGGAGGATGCACTATGGACTGTAAGAAGAAGTGTGTGGCCTTTTGTTAGATACAGACACACACACACATATATATATATGTAGTCATGATGGTATGTTGTAGTATGTGTTTATGGTATTGTATTAGAGGTTTTATGATGTTGTCATCTGAGGGATATATATATATATATATCTATGTACACGCATGGGGAGTTTGTGTCTCCCTCTGTTTTGTAGCACTTTGTTTACGTATGAATAAAAGGGACATTCGCGTTTATGAGTTATGTTATGTCCCCAAGTCTAATCTGATACAGAATATTACAGGAGACACCAGAACAATACATACATATATATACTCATATGTATACGTCTTGATGGTAAGGTAATATCACATCAAGAATTGATGGCCTTGGATTAGTTGGGCAAATCGCTGTCTCCCCAAACAACAGGAAACCAGGTGTCGCTGCTTTTTGTCTGGATTGACCAGTCCTCATCCTCCTCCATAGTTGAATGGATCAGGCAGCTTCTTAGGCTGATCCTTCTGCAAAGATAGGCTGCTTCCCCAAAGCTTCAAGGCCATGAGCCAGCAACAATGAGAAGATGTGTCAATGTCCATGTCCATGTCACTCGGCCTGAGAACCCATCACTCAGTTACTCAAAAGGGTTCGAAGTAAGTGGCAGAGGCAAAGAACTCGTGAAAAAAATCCGAAAGCTGGGGAATTTGAATTAGGCAGTCTTATGCGCAAACACATCGCGAAAATGACATGTCGGTTTTGAGTTCGTAATCTGGGAAAATGCACGAGAAATCAGCAGATTCAGGCTCGAGAATCATAATATCTTGCGAATCACTTATTACGGATAATGTTTTGAAAATTCGGTTACTTCTGTCCCAAGAAAACTTTCCATGTGTCTGCAGATTGTTTTTCACCTCCATGTTGCTTATGTTCATGTGTTCCTTGGCTTTTGTCAATTACTTTGGTTTTAGAAGAAAGGAGTGTATTAATATCATTTCCATAATTAAATAAAAGAAAAGTTCTATTTGAGGACTGACATTGATTGACTACCGTTAAAATTAAAATGATCGCCGTACTAAGAATAACACTTGGTAATGACATCCCACCGAAATAACCTGTGGCTTTGGTTCTACAATGCCATTCTTGAGCTTAATGACTGTAATTAGGGTGTAATTTAGAGGTTTTGATCATACCTTGGAAATAATCAAGCGCTAATGATAATTATGATCATTATATTAACATGGGCATTTAGGGTTCCTCAAAACCCCTCTCTTTTTCAAGAGAAATCCCACAAAAGGAAAAAGAAAGGTTCTGTCACATTAAGCATTGCCTAATAATAACCAGTAAAAAAAGATAGAAAAAGATTATGAAAACCCCAAATCTTCAATCTTTCTGTATGTTTTTTGACTCTTTTTTTTGTTCTGCATCCATTCTTTTCTGTGCTCAAAAGGGTTGAAGAAAGGAAAAAAAAACAGAGTCTCTCTCATTAATGGAGACTGTTCGTTAAACATCGTCTCTGAGATTGTTTCTTGGTTCCAAAGTCAAAGTCATCATGTCGAGCGGGAACTTTTGCGGCTTAACGCCTCATGTCTTCCGACACAAGTTCTCAAGAATGCAGGTCTGTCTTTTTTCTTCTTTTTGATCTTTTCATTACATATCTTCTTCTGTTCTTCTGTCATGTCTGGATAAGTCAGGAGTGGAAGATGATGTGAAGAGTATTCAAATGAAACAGAGTTCTTCGAATGTATCCAGTCATGTTTAATCCGAAACTGAGAAGAAAGATGGTTATGTTACAGGTCCCGAAAAGACTTGCTTGGAAAAGTGTGCAGAAGAACAGGGAAGAGATGAGGCATGCGTCACCATCGCCTTCTGCTGCATCGCCCAACAGCTTCAGAAAGAAGAGGAAAGAGATTAGGCGAATGGCATCGGAAATATCGTCTAATGCTTTGTCAAAGAGCATCAATTCTGTGAAACGGGCTGCATCTTCGCTCTCTGCAAAGACTCGGAAGCAAGTTCAGAGCCTTAAAAACGTCGAAGATTCGCCGAAATGCAGTCCGAGTTTCATTCTTATGGTGGAGCTCAGGAAGAATATCTTGACCTTCCGGGACATGATCGACTTGCCTTCTCTTGATGCCTCTCTCTCTGTACCCGAGGTCCCTTTTTTGATCTTGTCGATCGTTTTTCCCTTCTGGTTATGAACACGATCTAATGATCTTGCTTCTGGTTTTGCCGTCAGATTGTGTTGCAGACAATGAAAGATCTCCAGAAGCTTTCTTACGAGATCATAACCATCAACAAGGCGTTTGATATGAAAGACACGGACATGGATAAGGTACAGAACATTACAGTTTCCAGTGATTCGACCAATGTTGTCTCTGAATGTGTGTACTGATCTGATGACCCAGAATTCCAAAAACAGATGTTCATATTCTTCTACGAAGATCTGAGAGCAATCGGAGATTCTTGGATTGTGGATCACGAATGGGTGGAGAGATCCAAGTATAAACAAACTGGATTGGGGAGGAACAAGTCTGATCGCCTCGGTTTGTCAGAAAAATAATTTCCCAGAAGAATCTTTTGGATTCGCCCCTTTTCGGGAGCTAATTCCGTTGTTGCTTCTTCTGCAGTGGAACATGTACTCGCAGCACTAGATGGGCTGATCAAGATGTTGCGGGAAAGATTCGATATGATGGAACTCGAATATGGCGGGAAGAGAGAGTGTTTTCCAAAGGGTACACCGCAAGGAAGAAGCTTGACAAGGTCCGAGTCATATTCAGAAGGAACGAGCTCGTTCTTCGCGTCTCCTCTTACACCCACATCAGTTCTTCCTGGGAGGGTGTCTGGTAATTCAGCGTCTCCTACTCTCTGGAATCTAAGAGCTCAAGCTCTGGATAAGTTGAGCCCTGCTGATGTAAAGCGAATCGCTTTACATATATTGTCTCAGAGAGAGGATCGATCCCTCCTTGATCTGGACCTCAAGAACGATACCATTTACGAGGAGGCAGAGAAACTCGAAGGAGAAGAAGAAGAGGAAGACTGTGATTTTGATGATCGGAGCTACAGAGGAATTGAAGAGAATGAAACAGAACATGACTTAGAAACCGATGATCAGAACAATCTGACAACTTCAGGTACATCAGAAGAATCTTCTGAAGGGAACCTGAATCTTGGTACATCAGAAACTTCACACGAGCTACAAGAACAAGAACAAGCCTTGTCATCTTGTTCGAGTATTGTCTCAGTCACGCCATTGACCTCACCTCCAATGTGGCCTCCGCCACTCTCAATCCTCACCAGAAGCTCTCCTCCTCCTTCTCCTCCGCCAATGCCGCCACCACTTTCAAAGCTCGCCCAATGTTCTCCTCCACCGCCACCTCCTCCTCCTTCACCACTTCTCTCAGCTCTTTCAGACAGAAGTAATCAACTTCCATTGACAAATAGAGCTCCTGTTCTGTCTCCACCGACAAATAGGGCTCCTGTTTTGTCTCCACCGACAAATAGAACTCATGTTCTGTCTCCACTGCCTCAACCAAGTCCTGAAAGTAGAGAATTGAGTCTACCACCGCCACCACCTCTGCCACGGAGAAACGGAGATGCTGCTGATTCCACGAAGCCGCCGCCTCCGCCGCCTCCGGGATCATCAGCTGCCAAATCATTGCGTGCGAAGAAAGCAACCAGCAAGCTGAGGAGATCAGCCCAAATCGCGAATCTGTATTGGGTCCTCAAGGGAAAGCTCGAAGGCCGTGGTGTCGAAGGCAGAAGAAGTAAACCGAAGAAAAGCATGGCCACCGGAAACGTTGCTGCTGCTGCTGCTGGTGGTGGTGGAGGGAAATCAGGAATGGCTGATGCGTTAGCGGAGATGACAAAGAGGTTCAAATGATAATATATATGCATGATTCTGAATTCATCACAAATCATACCATATAAATATTGATTTTAATATGTAGCGATTTGGTTATAGGTCAGCTTATTTTCAGCAAATCGAAGACGATGTTCAAAAGTACACGAAATCTATCGATGAACTGAAGCACGAAATACATAGTTTCGAGACAAAAGACATGAAAGAGCTACTTGAGTTCCACTGCAAGGTGGAATCTGTTCTTGAGAAACTAAGTGACGAAACACAGGTATGAATGTTCCTTGATCATCTCTGTCTTAAAAACCGATACGCTATCGATCCCATCTCCGTAAGGTTTAAATCTCGTTCAGGTTCTTGCGAGATTCGAGGGTTTCCCTCAGAAGAAACTGGAAGCAATAAGATCTGCAGCTGCGGAGTACAAAAAGTTAGACGGAATTATGAACGAACTAAAGAACTGGAAAGTGAAGCCTCCATTAAACGAGCTCCTCGACAAGATCGAACGTTTCTTCAACAAGGCAAGTGTCATAGAACACGAGTTCTAAGCTCCGTTTCTTTTTATCGTTCGGTTTCTTCTTCCAGTTAACAATGCAGATAACATTGAACAGGTTAAAGGAGAAATAGATGCACTGGAGAGGACAAAGGATGAACAAGCAAAGATGTTTCAGAGCCACAAGATTCATCTGAACTTCGATATCCTTGTCCAGATCAAGGAATCTATGGTAGATGTCTCTTCGAACTGCATGGAGCTAGCTCTGAAGGTGAGTCAGAGGCTTTAAATCAAGAACTCGTTCACGATCAGTTCTTGAATGAATCTTGTTTTCTTGATTTCTGATCCGGGTTCTGATCGAAATATAAATGGCAGGAGAGGAGGGAAGCAAACGAAGCACAGAAGAAAGGAGAAGAAGCCGATACAAAGTCAGAAGTGACAAAGAAACCAGAGGAGGCTAAAAGGCTATGGAGGGCGTTTCAGTTTGCGTTCAAAGTCTATACATTTGCAGGAGGGCATGACGACAGAGCCGATCATCTGACAAGACAGTTGGCTCATGAGATTCAGACAGATCCTCAGACAGATTCTCAAACCAAGTTCTGAACCAAAAATGCTTCGCTGTTTCTGAGAAACAGTTGTTGCAAAACAATTCTTTTTAATTTTTTTTTGGGTTTTCTGGTTTTTTATTAGAACAATGTATATAAATAAAGCAGAATTTCATTTTTGCTATGGTGAAGATGTTTTTTTTTTAAATTAGAACAGTGTGTATAAAGCTTTTACATGTTTTTACTCCATTGAGTTCAGTTGTACATGAACACAAGATCTTCGACAAAAGTTTCAACTTTGCGAACGGTCTCGCAAGTCAGTTCTCTAAATGGGTTGCGAAAACGAACTGTCTCGCAAGTCAGTTCTCTCAAGACGAATCCGACGACGGGCACCCAACAAATACACATTCTCGCAGATCAACACTATAATCCAAACCCAAAGGTCAGGTATTGCCATCGTCGGATCCATACTTGACCACGATGGATACCCGACTTTCAGATACCCAACCCACAGATCGTAATGAGAACTCACAAAAGACCCTGAGGGCGTCCTTTTGAGGCTCGAGTTATTCCGACACAGACAACATACCATTGATAACATGTTTTTGCATTCAATCCTTCTACGAGACACGGGTTTTACTTGAATTCAATTCATAGCACAAACAAGATTCCATGTTGTCGTGAAAAGCATTTATACTAATTAACTGCTCCTATTAGCTCACCTCTCTCCAACAGCTACAACTGATTTCATGAACTTGAAAACAGGTCCCCACAACCTCAGAACTTGAAATCTTTCTTCTTCTTCCCCTCCTTATCATGCATCTTTCGCTTCCTTTTCTTCTCGTTCTGCAAAAAAAAACGAATGACAAGATATAACACTGAATATTTGCTTCCCTACGTTCACAAGATCTCATCAACATGCAAATGCTGTATAATCTGTTTCTAATGTGTTCATACCTCGGCAACCATGTCACTGAAGTCCTCTCGTTGAGTACGGAGTTTCTCCTCTTCCCTCGCCTCCTCATACCTTCAGAAAACCAATGTGTATGGGACAGGTTTAGGTACTCTGGTTATTATTATTGTCTTGTCTTAACGGATAAAAAATACAAGAAACCCGACTTACTTGGCAGGTAAAACGTTGTCCATGAGTTCCAGTTCTTCTGGCTGTAAACTGACATCCACTCGGTCTGCCTTCTGCCCTCTGAGCAAATCAACCTGGTCGACACATCACCATTCTCATTGTTATTAGCAATCAAGGATGCAAAGCCATGCACAAGTCTCGACGGCATTTGCACACAATAAGAACACATTGATGATATGCAATTCAAAGTATAGGTTGCTTACCCTTTTAGCTCCTGCCTTGTCCTGAGTACCACCAGTGTTAATAACATATGTATGTGTGGTTCCAAGTAATGTTCCAGGAGCAATACTCTCTCCCTTTTCCTCAAGGACCTTCAGAATCAGAGAAAAAGGAGCATCGAGAAAACCAAAGAACGGTAGGAAATTAATATCAATTTTTTTTGCTTGAAATACAAAATAAGATGCTTCAAGAAATGAATAGCTAAATGAATATCACAATTCTCAGCATTAAGTTTCTCACTTGGTACAGAGGCCTCTCAGGCTGCTCTTTTCTCTGCTGCTTACGTAGTTCTATTGCGTCGGGTGTCTCAATACCAGTAGGAGTGCTGCGCAAATAAAGTATAACAATCAGCTTCATTATCCAAATTAGTAACAAAACATATACACCTCACTGAAATACACTAGTTGAGAAAATCAATACCTTGACACTGTATCCACCGACTCAATACCGTCTTCTAGCTCCTCTTCCTCCATCTCCTCCTCTGGTTCCTCTTCCTCCTCCTCTTCCTCTTCTTCTTCCTCTTCTTCCAAATCACCCCAGTGCTTGCTTTTATCAACAGGTTCCTCCTGAAGTTATTGAGAAAAGGAGAACTCAGTGTACAGCTCTACCTTTCATGAATTTATCGTATCACCAGAATTTGATTATCAAGAACAGGTTCCATGACCCTACAGTTACTATTCCAGTGTTTTACAACCATGCCACCTATATATCTAGCTTAGAAAAGGTACCTGCTTTAGAAACTAAACCAGAGACCATGAAGCTAGAATCTTTTACCAAAGCTAAGGAGAAAGTTGCAGAGTTACCTCATAATTAGGCTGTTCTTGCTGCTGGACACCAAAGACATCTCCATATAATGGGCGTCCATACTATTTACAAGACAAACCACCAGAAGAAATAAATAACTCTGCTAAACGGTGACAAAGAATAAGAAAAAAGAATTAAGATGAAAAAAAATAAAAAATCAGAAGACTTACTTCATCAACCGGTGGTTTACCCCACCCCCCAGGATGATAACCAAAGCTAGCTCCAGAAGGAATAGGAGCATTTAGACCAGGAATTTTTAGATGTGGGTAAGAAGGTGGAGGGCCATATCTCTGTTAAAGAAGTATCAATGAAAGCTCCATGGCAATCAGATTCACAATGTCAACAAGTCATGATATAAAACTCACCTGCATATTAATCAACCAGGGGGGAGGAGCACCATCTGGCATACCAAGAGCTTCTTTTAGTTCACGCGATAAAGTTCCAGGTTTCATTTCCCTCAGTTTAACCTAGTTTTCAAATATCTAATATCAGTTCAATGACCCCAAGTCATAAAACTTATCCATCTAGTAACAAAGTAAAATGAACACATCATGGAGAATCTGACAAAGCAATACCTCAAATTCCTTTCCCTCAAAATATAGATCACCAAGAGCTGTCAGTTTAGGCTTTGTCTGGTATTTGAAGAATGCATCATGAAGAACCTGTCAAAGGAAGGTATGCCAACGGTAAGAAAAGGAATACAATCGACAAGGCTAAACCACAACAAATGATCTAAACAAAGAACCTGATAGTCAATGTCCATCTTTCCCATTTTAGGTTGCATCCGCTCTCGTTGCTTTTGCTTCAACTTCTTACTATCTTCTTTCTCAATGTAAGCCTGTATAAGAAACACAAAAGAGACTTCACATCAGGTTGTAGAAGAGATTGGAACTATACCTAGATTGACCAAAACAAATACCCTTAACATTTTTTTATGTGTTGAAAAGCATAGAAAGTTTAAGGTTCTGCAAAACCATACACCTTTGAATCCAACCATTTGCAGCCTATTGACCAGAAACCAACAGAAAAGCTAACTCAATGTGTTTACGATATAAGGTACCTGTCTAATCTTTTCAATTCCGGTTGCAGCTATAAAATCAGGAAGCTGGAATGGCTGCTTCTCTATACCACGTTTTCCCTGCAAAAACAAAAAACACTGATGAGATGCTACTATAAAGAAGGGTGCAACCACAACATCCAATGAAAACACAATGAAATGATACTGCAACCTTAGAAAACAGATGCATCTAAAGCAAGACTGCTAGAAAGACAAACGGATAAAGAACAAGCATTACTGATAGAGAAGAAGTCACTAGAAGGGGAAGACCCCGCCTAATCTACTACATAAACACATATTTTAGGCTCAGAAAATCATTGCAGAAGTCTTGATAAAACAGACATCACGATTCTATGTATAAATATAAACACTCAATGAGTCCTGTCTGGAAACACCTACAAGTCCAGGCTCCATGGTTATCACAGATGTTCTCCTGCAAGAAGCACATATATAGTATAAGGAAAATTGATTGCCATGGATGATCTCTATATCTCTTTATTTAATTCCCCTATGTGCCACACACCCACAAACCACAGAGACGCATTTGAAACAAAGATAAGCTTTGACAGATCACAAACCTGCAAATATTTTCTTTTTTGGGACCAATGCCTTGGGACTGGTACTGTGTTCCGATACGATTTCAAGTACACCAACAGCTTCGGGTCTGCTGCAGTTGCATCCCAGACCTATACGAGCTAGTTAGTAAGAGAATATAATACAGAGGTAGACTAGGAGAATTAAAATAACAAGGTCAGATAAAGTCTATAGAGCATTAGAATCACAGTAGATCAAAGGATCTAGAGCAAACATCCCATCATTAATAAGGCACAGTTCAACAAAGATACAGCAAGCTATCAATGTGGTTTATACCGGTAACAAAAATCGAGACAGCAAATTGAAATACTATGCAAGAAGGAGACAGAACCAAGCAAACGAAAGATGCCAGAGATATACTATGCATGTAAAATTCTGAACGAGATAAGTAACAAGAGAAGATGAAAGATAAAGCCAAAAGAATACATAAGAGAACGGTCAGGCATCCCATTTCGGTATTGCTAAACTGATTAGGCCGAAACTAAACAGAGAGGCCAATAAATAAATGGTGATATGTTCAGGCAAAGGATAGAAATACATCCATACCTCAACCACATCAGGCCTAGCGCATATCTGCTTCAGCTCAGCAATCTTCATTCTCCGTTGGAGCTGAAAAAACAAAGTTTTCCAGTTTCTTAAGCAAAGCAAAGAAAAACACGAGTCGGGAACTAATCATTAGCTTCAAGAAAGACCTTTTTCTTCTTGTTAGAGATTCCTTTCTCTTTCTGCTGATTGTCATTCTCTTCCTCCTCCGAATCTGAGTCTAGCTTCTTTTTGGCATCCGTCTTTTCCTCAGAGTCATCCTTCTTGTCCTCCTACTCAAGAAAAGAAAGGCCTCATTACGATTTAAGCTAAGCAAAACCTTCTCAGTCACACTCGGCTCGACAGCAGCAAGAAGCGTACGTACCTCAGAAGCAACGGGTTCCTGAAAGTTGAACTTCTCAAAGATCTTCCTAAACTCCTCATCGAACCCATCATCTAATTCTGCCTTTTCCGGAACATACTCTACCACAACCTGCTCCGTAACCAATGAATTCGACCCATTGAACCAAAATCAGAACATACTGATCGGAAAAAACTAAAAACTGCAAAGAAAAAATTCGACCGCGTGATATCCGCGAAGAAGGGCACACCATCCAAAACCCCAAAGATCCACGCCCGTGAAGAGAAAATGAAGAATAACACAAAACCCACCTCTTGCAACGGATCTGCGTTCTGCTTCGAGTCAGTATCACCAGAGACGTCGCCATCATCAGCATCACGCTGAGATCCTTTGTTGTTCTTCTTCTGCTTCCGCCGCCGGCGACGACGCTCGCTCTCGCGAGCCTTCTTTGACGAAGCAGTAACGCTAGAGTTTGAGGAGGCGTCTCCGATTGGAGCGACGCCATTTTCGCGAGCGACGATAGTTTCGGCGGTCATGTTCGCGGAAGCGTCTCTCAGGCGAGTAATGTGAAGGGCACAAAGACAAGATGCCCAATAAAGGGAAATTAGAAGAACGGGACAGTCGGTCATTCCGTGGGCCTTCATTAATGGGCCTGTAGGCCCAAAAAGGTTGCTATATGAAATTATAAAATACTTAACTCAGCCCTTGGACCCAACGGGCACAGACCCAATTTTTTTTTATACGAAATAGACAAAAAAAAAAAGTAGGAAAAAAACTGAAATACTTTACATTAATGAATTCCTCTTTAAACCTTTGATAAAGACAAAAATATTCGTAAAACGAAAAATAGTAATAAATAAATGAAAAAGTCTACTAAAAAATTGTTTCAGCTTATTTCCTATTTTGTAATATATATTTTTGTAGAATATATTACTAAAATAATCTTTGTTTAATATGTGTTATTCATAATAAGAAAATCATTTGTTGAACTTGATATTATTCTTTAATCTCTTCCCTTTTATTTATTTCTCACATTTATTCTATCTGTTAATGGATAGTCTCTAAATGAATATATTTATAATGAGATATAGATATTCTTGTGTTATTTAATATTTTATCACTTTTTTTTAGGTAAAACAAATAAAAAATGCAATTCCACATTACGAAATAAAAACAATCACATGCATATCTTACAACTATTTTTGTACTTGCTCAATTTGTCTTGAAGACGACAATGATGGTACGTTTCTATTAGATATAAATATAAAATAGACAATTTATCGTAATTTAAAGATTATATTTATTTATTTTAAAATTTTAATGATGGTCTGAACTATTTCTTTTTAGAGATTATATTTATTTATTTAAAAAAAAAAAATTAACGAAAACCTAAAGACCGATATGACCTCCGTGCTTCATTTAAATACCGATGACGAGTGCCCCAAGCGTTTTCAGATTTGTTCCTCGTCATCTGGATCTAGGGTTTCGGTTCGCTCAGCTAATTTCCTCACCATTTACTCCTGATTTTAGAACGTGACCCACAAAAACCTAATTTCTTCCATAGATTTGTCCATCAACAGATCATCAAAGGACCGCAGAAAGTATCAGGGCTCTGATTTGATCAATCGCTACTCGCAGATCCAGAAAAAAGTGTTTCTAGGGAACAAATTCTAAAGAAAAAACCCTAACTTCGGCCCCTCTCTTTCTCGCCAACGCATTGTTTTTCTCCAAGATTTTGTTTCTTGTTGCCCTGCTTGTAATCCGCGAAAAAAAAGACATGGATCGAATTCAAAACTAGTATGGGTCTGATGATCTTACAGCAGGGGACAACGAACAGTAAGATTTTGATTAATAAATTTGAGATGAGAAATCCATTGATTCTATGACTGCTTCTTCTGACACGGACAAATCCAAGGAGGATTGAGAAGAAGAGGAAGAAGACAAAGAAGAGCAAGAGGAAGAGACAAACATGTATAGTAATAGGGTTGAAGTGTACAATGGTGAAGGAAAAGTTGGAGAAATGGAGGTACACCCACCTCGGGAATCGGAGAAGGGAGACGAGATGATGATGCTGAGAAAGAAGAAGCGGAGAGAAATAATGGAGGAAGTGAAGAAGGGAATCAGAATAAGCCACTTCTCTCAACCTAGTGAGAGGTGCCCTCCTCTCGCTGTGCTTCATACTATTTCTTCTTCTGGCCTTTGTTTCAAATTGGAGGCCACAGCCAAATTCAAATCATCGTCATCTTCTCCTGCTCATGAGCCGCTTCGTCTCTTCCATTCATCCTGTCTCAGAGACAACAAGGTATAAACATGCCTTATGGGACTTTGAAACCCTAATAATCAATGTAGAATTCATGATCAAAACTTCAGATTGGTCGATACCCACCAACATTTTCTCACTTTTGGTAATGGGTTGGCGCCAGAATCTGACCGATTTGGACAATTCTATTGATTCTGACCGATTAGTGACATTTGGATGACCGTTTAACTTCATGTACATTGTCGATACTCAGTATCATGGAGCTGAATCCAGTTTGTGGTCTATGTCTGCTTTCCGAGAATGGTCTAGGTTACTTTGAAAATAGATAGCTTACTAAATTAGCTTGTTGACAGCTTATCATGTTTGATATTTTCTATTCATTCAGACAGCAGTAATGCTCCTGGGCGAGGAGGAAGAGCTCCATTTGGTTGCCATGTATTCTAGAAACAATGAAAAGGAATACCCGTGTTTCTGGGCATTCAATGTTGCTTCAGGACTCTACAATTCCTGTCTTGTCATGCTGAACCTCAGATGTCTGGGTATTGTCTTTGATCTTGACGAAACTCTCATTGTCGCGAATACCATGCGCTCGTTTGAGGATAGGATTGAGGGATTGCAACGAAGAATCAACAATGAGGTGGAACCACAACGTATTGCTGTTATGGTGGCTGAGATGAAGCGTTACCAAGATGACAAAAACATATTGAGGCAATATGTTGAAAGTGATCAAGTAGTTGACAACGGGAAAGTGATTAAGGTGCAGACAGAAGTTGTTCCTGCCTTGTCTGATAACCATCAGCCTGTTGTCCGTCCACTCATAAGGCTACAAGAGAAGAATATTATCCTGACTCGCATCAATCCAATGGTATGTGGATCATGAAGTTATGTTCTTGATTGGGTATTCAGTCATTTTAACCTATTTGGTTGATGTCCAATTTAACCTTCACAAGTCATTAAATTGGTTGTGTGCCCCATGGTATTCTATTTGTTATAAAATTTCCATGACATGCAAGTGCATTATGGCACTACGAGGCTGGACGCTTTACTCTTTTGGAGTATTAAATATTTCTTTCCTTTTCTGAACAGAGCACCAGGATGGATCAGAATTCTTTTGCTTGACACTGCTTTCATTTGTACACAGATTCGTGATACGAGTGTGCTAGTGAGGTTGAGGCCTGCGTGGGAGGAGCTTCGTAGCTATTTGACAGCAAGAGGGCGTAAGCGTTTTGAGGTTTATGTTTGCACGATGGCTGAAAGGGATTATGCCTTAGAGATGTGGAGACTTCTCGACCCAGAGGGGAATTTGATAAACACAAATGAGTTGCTCGATCGCATTGTTTGCGTGAAGTCTGGTAAATTTTGTACCGATGTATGTTTGTTTTTTTAATCACGATTTCGGTTATTACAAGCTTGTGATTTACCACCACAGGTTCAAGAAAATCATTGTTCAATGTGTTTCAAGATGGAACCTGCCATCCTAAAATGGCATTGGTGATAGATGATCGGTTGAAAGTATGGGATGACAAGGATCAACCAAGGGTGCATGTTGTTCCTGCATTTGCTCCTTATTATGCTCCTCAAGCTGAAGTAAGCAGAAATTGTGTTGGCTATGATAGCGTTTACAATCACGGAACTTACATTGCTCTTTTTATTTGTTGTAGGCAGCTGCAATACCTGTACTGTGTGTCGCGAGAAATGTTGCTTGCAATGTGAGGGGTGGATTTTTCAAGTAAGATATTAAATGTGATTGGATTCGATTGATATGGAGTGTGTATTTAGACTTCCAGTGGAGTATGCATGTTTTCGGAAACCATTGATTTTTCTGTAACATAGTGTTTGAACTTGGTGACAGAGACTTTGATGATTGTCTGCTACAAAGGATTGGGGAAATATCGTATGAGAATGATATCGAGGATATTCATTCTCCACCTGATGTCAGCCATTATTTGGTCTCTGAGGTAGATGTATTCTGCAACTAACACTTTTTTCAACGCTCTATGAAAATCTGGACTGCTGCTTAGTAGCTTATTTCTCTTCGATGTAGGATGAGATATCAGGTTCAAATGGGAACAAAGATCTGCTTTCTTTTGATGGGATGGCTGATGCCGAGGTGGAGAGAAGATTGAAGGTGATTAGCATTCTTAGACTCATTTGTTCTTCAAAGTTAGTTCCGTGATTGGTAATGGATGCCACCTCTGGAAAGCATGTACAGTGTATATTGGATTCTTCTCGATGGTGAGAGTTAAAGTAGATCATTTTATATCCTTTTTCATCCAGGAAGCAATTTCTGCATCTTCAGCTGTCCCTGCTGGGGTAAATCTTGATCCTAGGCTAGCTGCTTCCCTTGCATTCGCCATGCCTTCTACTTCTGTTTCAGTTCCAGTACCAGCAGTGCAACCGTCGGCTGCAACCTTTCCGCCTATGCAGTTTCAACCATCGACGTCTATAGTTAAACCACTGGTTTCTGCTGGTTCCGTCGAACCAAGCTTGCAAAATTCTCCAGCGAGGGAGGAAGGTGAGGTACCTGAATCAGAGTTGGATCCAGATACTCGACGGAGGCTTCTCATATTGCAGCATGGACAAGATAGTAGAGATCCCGCTCCAAGTGAACCTCCACTTCCTCAAAGGCCTCCAGTTCAAGTTCCACCTCCACATGTGCAACCGAGAAGTGGCTGGTTTCCTGTCGAGGAAGAGATAGATCCTGCTCCACTTCGTCGAACAGTTCCCAAAGAATATCCATTGGATTCTGAAATGGTCCATGTGGAGAAGCATAGGTCTCATCAGTCGTCCTTTTTTCCTATGACTGATGGTTCTACTCAACCTGATAGGATGCTTCGTGAGAATCGGAGACCACCAAGAGAGGTCCGCATTCTAATTTATTTGAATCATGATTTCTATCGCCAACATTGATGTCTTTAACGCTGCTGATTATATTGTTGACAATTGTAAATTTGCAGTCATTCCATAGAGATGAACTATTAAGGTCAAACAACAACAAATCCGGATCTCATGCTTTTTATGGTAAGCTATCAAAACCGTTTCTTGTTATACCATATTTTGTATCCTTTTGCTCTGAGTACAATTCATTGATCTGTTATGGATTCATTCTCAAGGGGAGGAGGCATCTTTGAGTCGATCTTCGTCTAGGAGCAGGGATCTTGACTCTGTGTCTGGACGAATTGCCTCAGCAGCAGAGACTCCAGCTGATGTTCTACATGATATAGCTATGAAATGTGGAACTAAGGTCGTGCCATTTTGGGGGTCAGATTTCAATTATTTCCATCCGTTTTTTTCACCATTAATGTTGTTTTTTCTTTTATGACATCGTAGGTGGAATTCAAACCAGGCCTGGTTGCTAGTTCTGTTTTGCAGTTCTCTGTTGAGGTAATTTGAGTTCTTAGGCTTTTCATTTACTCTGTTCCGACTGAGATCTTCTTTCTGCCGTTGGATATGTAGAGTTGTTGGGAGAAAACGCTGCGTGTGATTGTTGACTTTTGATGTGATGTGTTTCCGCGGAATCTGTAATACTGTGCAGCATCTTCCAGATTCTCTTTTTTTCTCTCCGATGGACAACTTCTTTGGTTATTTCAGTTGTTTTGAGTCCATTGCACTTTTTGCAGGCTTGGTTTTCTGGGGAAAGAATTGGAGAGGGATTTGGTAGAACCAGAAGAGAAGCCTTGCATAAGGCTGCTGAGGCTTCCATCCAGAACTTAGCTGGTTAGACATTCTGGCTTATATGGTTTCTTTTCTCATAATTTAATCTTCCGTTTTAGCAAATAGAATTTCAGTGTGTTTGCATTAGGATTCTCACACTTTTCTTTTCGTTTTCTAGTTATATAGTTGCTTAAAGCCTTCTTCATCACTGTTATAGCTTTTCTATGGTGTGAATCTATATCTTTTGATCCAACCTCTATATGGTAGTATTCCATTAAGGACTCCAATAGTCCAATGTCCAAGTATGAATTTGGTTTATGATTTATGTAAACCAAGTTCAAGCTTTTAACTTATAATCTTACGTATAAATTTGTAACCTGGCTCTGGTACAAGCTGAGTTCATATCAATTTGTCTGAAAGTCACCACTCTATGTGAAAAGAGTGGCTGGGGAAGGCTAGAGTGGGTAGGCCACCGAGAGTGGGATGCTGTGGAAAACCAGTGTGGAAGTGTGGTGGTATGCAATGCTATGATTACAAATCTTTGGCCCTTCCCCTTTAAATTGGTTTGTAGGGTGTGATCTACCATCTATTTGTGGCATTTGGTTTAGGTTTACTCTTGGCTGGATTTATATGACATATTTCTTTGCATAAAGATCCAAGAATTTTGTTTTTCTGTTGTTCTGACTTTTCGAGGCCCTTTCTGCAGATGTATATTTGTCCCGTACGAATCCCGACCCAAGGCCGAGCAATAGGGATGCAAGTGCCTTTGCTAATGGCAGTACCTTCTTGGGAAATGGAAATATGGTAGAGAATCGCCCATTTGGCAGAGACGAATCTGCACCATTCTCAGCAATGTCAGATCCCTCTAGACCTACAGATCCGAGATTGGAAGGCTCTATTAGGCCTATGGGCTCCATTTCTGCGCTCAGGGAATTGGTATGTCATGGATTACTGTCTCTACTTATTCTTTCTTGCTCGTACACTCATGAACGTTTATAAAGTTTGATTTTCTTATGTTTTGTTATCCAGTGCGCTATGGAGGGCTTTGACGTGGCTTTTCAAGCACAACGCCCACCATCGGACATGGTCCAAAAAGATGAATTATATGTTCAGGTTTGTTGTCTGAAGAAGATTCTATTTTTGTTATGTTCTTCCATCAAAAAACAAATAAATGCTTTCTCTTTTTGGAAAATCTATGTTTATTTAGGAAAAACATTAACGAAAATAGTGGTAAATGATAGACCTTTGGCATCAGAATAAATATGTAGGCGCGTAAATAGGAAAAAAAACAAAGAAGTTTACCAGTTGACTGCTAATTTCAGGTCAGACTAGTAACCATACTTTCATATGGATTTCATCTGTGTTTTCCTTGGTAATGTGTTTTCTTTTGCTATCAATGAAAAGAATACCGAAAGGTGACGATACGGTTCCAATGGCAGTGTATGAATCCATGCATTTTGTTTGTTCCAGTGAGGATTGGTGTTTTCATGATTTTAGTGTTGGTTCTTTATTCAGCATATGAAAATAGTGTTTGGCTCGATTTTGTAAGATCGCCTTCCTATTTTTCCAATGCCTCATGACCACCAATCAATTACCATACGTGCCTAATCGGTTCGTAGTATCTTAGAAAGCATTCATTCATGCTATAAAGTATAACTGCATTTTCAGGTCGAAATTGATGGGCGAGTTCTAGGGGAAGGTGTTGGTTTGACATGGGATGAGGCCAGGATGCAGGTTTTTCCTTAGTGCTTATTCTAATCCCATCCGTTTTCTTACTGTTTCTCTTCCACTGGCTTTTCGTAATGCCTTGTGTGCTTGCTTTCAGGCTGCCGAAAGAGCGCTCTCCAGTTTGAGATCGATGATTGGTCAATCTTTGTATAAACGGCCGGTATCTCCTAGGTTTGTGCGCATCATCCTTGCCTGTCCGAAAATTCGTTGGAAGTATCGATTCATTTTTATTGCTTCCTTTCTCATGTTTTTCGATTGGTTTTTCTTGTCGATATCGGAACAGATCTTCGCATGGGATGTCGAGCAAGCGTATGAAACCAGAGTTTCAACGATCTCTGCAACGGATGCCATCTTCAGGAAGATATCCGTAGACAAGCTTTTAACTCATTTCGACATCAACGCGTTTCTCCAAGCAGCAAGTCAAGAACATTCTTTTGGGAAAATGGCACTGGTCCAGGATCCTCGCTGACTCCAAGACCTGTCAGATTTTTGCTCAAATCCAGTAACAGTGGTCGGACCCAGATCCCGAGTTTTGTATAATCTTTCGATGCGGTTTCAGAAGGAAAGTTGCTGCAAATGACCGGCAAGGACCGTTTGGATAGTTTGCCTTTCCGACAGTCTTTCAGTCTCTTTTAGTTCGCTTATTAGCCCATTTCGAACTTCATCTCGGTCAGTGTGTATAGATGATACAGTGTAAGCAACGAATGTAACGTTATAAGCAGGATTGTTTACATTACATGACAATATCACACCATTACCATTACCATATGGCTCAACTCTTTTGACACAAAAATGTCTGAAGAGCATCACCGCCCACAAATCTTACAAGAACTCGGAAGAACAAAATGTTTTTTTTTTTTTTTGAAATCAGACAGCCTCGATGAATGTCGGTTCGGACTTTATGTATTTGTACCATTTCGCACAGATGAGATAGACGACGAAATCAGCTGTGGTTAGAGCAGCTAAGAGGAAGAAGAATCTTTCAAGATGGCCTTTGTTGAGATTCCCTGGAATCCAACCGGGCATTTCATCTCTTGTCGAGATCTTCATCACTATAGATACCAACAAGCTGCTGACGTAATTCCCCAGCGATATCGACGTCATACAGAGAGCGCTCCCGAAGCTTTTCAGCCCCGAGGGAGCTTGCCCGTTGAAGAATTCGAGCTGGCCGACGTACATAAACACCTCCGACGCGCCGATCAATACGTACTGAGGCACTTGCCAGAATATGCTCAGAGAACTCTCACTCGTGTTCTTGTGTTTCAGCCTGAATATTTCCACAACTCCCGCCGCTATCATTGCCATTACCGCGATCACGAGCCCTATTCCCATCCTCTGAAGCTCAGTTAATCCCTTGTTGGGCTCGGTCTTGTTCAGTCTTGAGAATATTGGGTCGAGAACTCGCCTGTACACGAAGATGAAGAAGGCTACGCTGAGAATGTCGAAGCTTGACATGCTCGCGGGTGGAATGTGGAAGTCTGCAATGGTGGTTTTCATGACTGCGCCTTGCTCGACGAAGAGGGAGGCCATCTGAGTGAAAACGACCGAGTAGAGAATGGTGCAGAGCCAGATTGGAAGGAGTCTCAGAACGCATTTCACTTCCTCCACCTGCGTTACTGTGCAAAGTTTCCACGGATCGTAACTCGATTCTTTGTCAATTTCATCGTCCGGCATAACGGTTGCAGCTCTATCCAAGAATCTGCACAAACAGAGATTGTTATGCACTGAAATCTTCAACAGGTGTACGTAACTTTTATCAGAGAAATAGAGCTTTTTTACCTGAAACCTTGAGTATGAAGTATCTTCCTGTCTCCAGTACGCTGAGTCTCCGTTTCGAAGAGATTCACGCCATGCAGATCCGTGCTCGGGGGCATATGAATCCTGGCCTTTCTTGTTGCGGCAACCAAGACTTGACAGAACCTGGACCAAGGACTCTCCTTGGGCACGAAATGTCTATATCTTGGAGTGCCGGTCAAGAAAAGGGCTAAACCCGCAAAAGCAGACGCAGCCGACGCCCAAAAGCCTAGCGGCCACCGCCCTTGATCTTCGAAGAACCCTAACACCGTGTTCGAGAAGAGAGAGCCCAGGTTCAAAGCCAAGTAAAAGTAACTGAAGAAGGCTATTTTCGAGTATCCTTCCTTGGGATCCTCGGCATCGAACTGGTCAGCCCCAAAGGTCGCTATGTTTGGCTGATAACCGCCGTATCCTAACGCTATCAGATACACCGAAAAATAGAACAGAGCCGTCTTGAAACGAGAGTGGGAGCCACAAGGTGTCTCCTCACCTCCGCAGCCTTCTGGCTTGAGTAGGAATGCTTGTGTCGATACTGATAACAATACCAATCCCTGTACCAGAACACGACACGATTCAGAAACATGTTAGCTTATATATATATATATACATCGAGACAGAATCCCCAGGGCTCAATATATATCCGGTAAGGGAGTTGAAGAACTTACAGCGACCAGAAAGGCTTGAAAGATGGAGCAAGTCTTGTACCTTCCCCAGTAGGAATCACTGAGGAAAGCTCCGAGCAAGGAGAATATATAGACAGTGCCTGTCCATTTGCTGACACTGTTGGCCGCTTCTGCATTGTCTTGTCCCATAACCCTCGTCAAGAACAAGACCAAGTTCACTCCTACTCCGAAGAAGGCGAGCGTTGCCAGCCCTTGATTCACTGTTATTCGAAAACCCGATATTCTGATTAATTAAATCATATGTTTAATCATTTTTACTGTTCATTGAAAACAACACATACCAAGTATAAGAACTGCAGAAAGCCATGTTCCAGTCTTGCTTCTAATGGCTGGGTTGCCGGGTCGGTCCACGCTTCCATCTTGAGTGCATGCCTCAGTCTTCTTGCTAATCTTCTGTTCCATGATTGCCATTTCTCTTTCTAGGTTAATTTCTCCGTCTTCGTCGTCGTTTTTACTTCCTCTTGAGTGGTTTCTGGTTCCCTGAAATTAAGGTTTTTTTTTTCCAGTTTATGTCTGTTAATGTCTGAATCGACGTCCAAACGAAATACGAAGCTCTGAAACAGCTAGACCGAAACAAGATTAAACTTATAGATTTTGGAAAATCAATTACACGCTTCCATCTTGAGTGCATGCCTCAGTCTTCTTGCTAATCTTCTGTTCCATGATTGCCATTTCTCTTTCTAGGTTAATTTCTCCGTCTTCGTCGTCGTTTTTACTTCCTCTTGAGTGGTTTCTGGTTCCCTGAAATTAAGGTTTTTTTTTTCCAGTTTATGTCTGTTAATGTCTGAATCGACGTCCAAACGAAATACGAAGCTCTGAAACAGCTAGACCGAAACAAGATTAAACTTATAGATTTTGGAAAATCAATTAAGTATTTTATGGTTGGTAAAAGAAAAATGTGATGAAATTGTGGCAAAACTTGGTGTGGTAGCTGAGAATGTGTAAAATATGTGTGGAAGAAAATTAGGTAAAAACATGTTTGTAGTATAAATATGTGTGTTTGTATCGAGTTTGATATCAAGCAAATTTTTATTGAAAAAAAAAAATCGTCTCCCAAAATCTTCAAATTCTTTTTCTTCCAGATATTTCATAATCCTAAACACTAAATAATCACCGAACAATCCTCCTCCCTGATCCAACAACGTGCTGGCGATAAGCATGCATTAAGGAACCGATCGATACTACCAAAAGATCGAACATAAAAGTAATGGGCATTGACAGAACTGAAGAAGGAGTTGCAGAGAAACATGGAGAAGGAGAATGGCTTATCAGAAGAGCATGAACACACCTGGAACTGGAACTGGAAGCAGGGGGGGAGAGAGAGAGAGACTCAAAACAAGACACGACAAGAGAAGGAAAAGAGAAACACGACAAGATACTTTGGTTTGATGCAAGATTTCTGTGACGGAGTGAGTTGTGCTACTTATAGGCACTCGGAGAGGAAAGAGATCCTTTCTTTGACGTCTCCTTCTTACATTTTTTTTTTCCTTTTAACGTCGTTTCCATCATGACTATGACCCCCTTTGAAATTAGCTGTATAGCTTATTTTCGTTCCATGAAAATTTTCATATCTTTTACAGCAGCTTCATGTAAAATTATTTTATATTCCCCCAATTAAGAAATTCTAAATCAGAAATAATCTTGGAATAAAAATCTCGCAGAACCATTACAAAACACATTCGTTTAAATCCTATAACAAAAAAAAATACATAAAACTAGTGTAGGTGTTTTGGATCCATATATAACGAAATGGGTTTACTCTTTTAAGTATCTAAAAAAATAGATAAAGAATTAATGGATCCAAAAACTCAAAGAAACTCAGCCTTAAAATAAAGAATAAAATTCTAAATAATCGTCATATTTATTTTAGAATTGACACGTATGTCCACAATCGTTTTGTCGGAGGAAAAAAAATCGTGTATCGTGTACACGATTTTAAACGCCATACTTATTTTCATTTTTATTTTATTTGCAAAAGTTTATTTTTTTTATTAATGTATTTTTAGAGGAGACTGAAATTTGGTTTAAAGGATGTGGGACCCAGTTACACGTGGAGGGCTGCTGGAGGAAAATCCCAGGAAACTCAACGGAGACATCAGAAAAAAAAGTCATTGCACTGTTTTGTTGTTTCCCACTGAAAAAAAGATTCCTATGTCTCTTGTTTATTATTTTAATTAACAAATCAAAATAAGGATTTCATGTCTCTCTCTTTTAAAAAACATATATTTTAAAACAAAAACAAGAAACCATACCAAATGTTCGAAAAACATATAAACAAAAGACCTATCATGTGTGCGTATTCACTGTTTTTTGAAAACCTTATTTCGTAAAGATTTTTAAAATATATTTTTGAGATATAAAAGATAAGATAAATCGCCAAAAAATCATGTACTCTTCCTAGGTTAACGAAAAAATTCGGTACTCTTTTGCTTACCAATTATCAATTAAACTCTATATTTGGTGTGATTAATCTATAAAAATCTGAACTTTTTAAAAATTCACCGAAAACCTCATGCGGCCAACACAAACAAAAATGATGATGTGATAATGACATGTCTTCCAATTCATGGTCACATCATCTTAATTATGCCACATCATTATTTCAAACAAAATTTAAATTAAATAATTTATTTAAATTAATACATATACATACAAATTCACACATACATATATATATTAAATATAAAATTACTTATAACTAATAAACACATATATATTTATCTACTATATATATATATTATAAATTATATTATAATAATATATATATACACATATTATTTTTTAATATATATTGTATATATATTAGTTATAATTACTTTTATTTTAATATGCATATTAGTTATATATGTATATATATATGTTACATGTATAACTAATATATATACATATTATTTTTAATAGATATATTATATGTATATATGTTAGTTATAATTACTTTTATTTTAATATGTATATGTTGTATATATAACTAATATATATACATATACATCGTCATTTATGTTTGAGTTGACAGATGCAGGAGATTTTCGGTGAATATTTAAAAAGTTCGGGATTTTATCGGTTAATGACACCAAATACAAGGTTTAATTGGTAAGCAACAAAATTGCAGGGTTTTTTTCTTGATCTGCTAAGAATACATGATTTTTTTTTGGCGATTTACCCTAAAAGATATAATGATATCAATTTATTTGATAAAATATTAAAAAAACTTGATTTTTTTAGAAAAATAACAACAAATTGTACAATGCAATATAGAAACCAAAGCACATGATCAATAAATGCAATATAGGATTATCTTTATTTTTCACAATTATATCTGATAATTACATGTAGGCTATTCTAAATAATAATAAAATAAACAAATTCAGAGTCTCTATCAGGCACGCAACACTCGTGCGCAGCTGGCGTGATTGTGACTTTTTTCTTGTCCTAACCAAACTTTTGAGCGTCTCCCATTTCGTGCTCTAATTTGATTTTAAACTAATTTTTTATTTTAAGAAATGAAGTATATATTTAAAAGTCCAACTTGAATGCATCTCCTTTTTTTTAATTTTTTAATTTTTCTATATTTTTAATTTAAAGTAGTTGATTATACCGAATTGAAAATGTTGAATAATATCTCTTTAAAAAAATTTGATATATTCCTTTCCGAAACCTAAATTTCTCCATATCATCATCCAATATCCTGCTGCTTCTATAGCTGTTCTCCTCATTGTCCTCAACACGCACTTAGTTCGTACGTTTAATGCATGCCTTACGTGTACACTCTTTAATTACATATATATATACACACACACACACACACACATTAGGTATACGAATTTTAAAATCTGGAGAGATCATAACCAAACAAATACGATGTTGAAAGATATCGAACCGTCGAAATCAAATGTGCTATAACAACAATATAACGTGATGTTTCCAACAACAAATAAAAACAAAGAACGTCTTGCACCAATTAATATAACTTATATTATTTTTATGACAAAAACATGGTTATTTACCCAAAAAATATTAAATCATGGTTTAGAATGGACATTTATTTATTTTTATACAGTGATGAATAAATTTTCGAGTTTGTGGTCTCATATATATATTTATCCGTTTGAAACCTAACATTTAATAATATTTTGTATATATAGACATCAACCACTTCTAATCGATGTTTATTTGACAATTATTATATTTAATTATTTTCTTTCTTGCTTTTGTGATGGTATTATTATCGTCTTATTATTTGGAGCCGCCAAGTTGCAACTTGAAGATGTTGTCGCCAAACACTATTCTCCGGTGCTTTGAATTTATAGTGTTATTTTTTTTAGCCAAATTGCAACGAAGAAAAACTTATGGAAACACCGAAAACGACGTGGCATTATCAACTCTAACCGATGTAATAATAAGAAAATTAATTGTAATTTAAAAGTGAATTAGTTATATATACTTAATTGTCCGCTTCATACATCTTTATCCAGCTATAGATCACTTTGTATGTTATCTATTTGGTCCGAACATAAAAAATGTGATGAGTAAACTAATTAAACACTATTGGTTCTCTTACCCTTGATTGGCAAATGGCAATATAATTTGTCACGATTAGCTAGCCACTGGATTAAATTCCACCAACTATAGAATTATTTAATAGTAGATTAATTTATAGTCTTCGATTTGTCACGATTAGCTTATCCTTTTATTTGTGTTTGTTCCATGAAAATAAATATTGGAGTAACATTTACCCCAACCGAAAATATTAACGATTGATTTCTTTCTGTTTCAATTTATTTTAAGATATATACGCCCGCAAGTCATATTCCAAAAACACCGTATCAAATCTTTAGATACATACATCTATATACAAATCACGCGAGTTCGGCCTTTCCAATAATGGTTTTAATTTAAATCTTTATTAAAGTTTCTATAAAAAAAAATGGCTTCCACCCTTCTACGTACTATCCGAAATATCATCTACGTAATTTTAAAATTCAAGAAACCGGGAAAAAAAAAAGGAAAGATAAGTGGAGGGTTGGAGTTTGACTTTGACTAGAAGTGATAATGCGTGGTGGCGTCGGCCGAAAAAAGAAACAAAATCAACGCACGACTCATCGCATATCCCAATTTATTACAGTGTTGCGAAATGCGACAAGGCACATGTGGTCGTTTTATAAGCACCTTGAATTATCTTATACAATAAATGGCTTATCAGTGTCTCGAATTCTAACTTGTCAAGGTTGCTAGTTGCCTCTTACATTAGAATAAAAAAAGGGGGGGGGGGAAACTATATATTTTATCATTTACTTCGTTTTCTATCATGCGCATGCTTGATCATTTATATATTTGGATGTTTTTTTTTTAAATTTCTCATTTGTAAACTAAATCCTTTGGTTGGCAACAAAATAGGGTCGCTTTCTTTGGGTTGGTCTGTATATTAAAATTTTCATATCTTAGAGAAAATATACAAGTTGATTATTCAAATTATTATAAGTTCTCCTAAGCAACAAGCAGGATTAGTACGTACGCAACGCAATATCACATTCCGGCTGTATTTTCGCAAATAAAATCTCAAAATAAGCAACCGAGTAAAGATCTGAATTTATCAATTAATCACGTCCTTAACAAATAGCAAGTCTTTTATTTATATATATATATATATATATATAAATTCAATGTATGTATGTATGTATGTATGTATGTATGTATGTATGATTATATATCCCTATATCAAGATTGTCCATTTTGCTAAAGTCAAGGGGCTAAATTGAAGACTATTATACATTGTCCACGCCTATATATACATGCATACATACATTGTCCGACACTTTGGGCCTTGGGGTTCGAACTTGCAATAAAATCTGCGAATCAGAGAGCTTACGTGGACGAAAACGATGTGCAGTTGTCAAACAAAAAAGAGCGAAATCATCGCTTTTTTTGTCAAAGTATTTGTCCCATTCATGCATGTCTTCATCCATTCTAAAACAAATCACTTGTAAAACGTTTTTTTGGAACATAAATGATATATTGTCGATTGTTTTAAATATATATATAGTGGTAGCGTATTGCATGCAAAATATGTAGCCATTGGACCATAAAATTCGATAGCAAGTCTTTTTAAAAGCTTAATAATTGCAAATCGACATAACCGGAAGATCGAATACTGAAATGGATCCGAATAGAATATGGAATAATAAAAACCTGGAAAACTGATTTTTTTTTAAAAATAGATATTTTCAACTGAAAATAGACTCTAAACCCAAATTATCTTCACTTGGAATCCAATATAAAACCCATCGAAAATTAAATCTAATTTTTTTAAGAATCAATATATATATATATATATATATATATATATATATATATATACGGTGAAAAACCGGTGTGAAGTAAAAATTAAGAATATATATTACGGAAACAGTGGAATAACAACAAAGTGATAAGAACAGAAGTTACAAGACAAATGTGGCAGGTGAGGGTATAGACTTTGACGCCAAATGGACAATATTATATATATAAAATATAATCAATGGATCGCTTATCTCTTCCAATTCCAAACAAGTTACGTGGTGTATGTTATTAATTATTGTAGACTATGAGATAGAAAACAAGCGCATGTATTTTAATATGATAAGTACTTTGAATGCTCTAATATAGCATATCCAAATTATCATTCATATAGTTCCAAATCTTGTTTTTCAACGTACACCCCCATGTACATTTATATCTTATGACCACTTGTTCATCACTCTATATATATATATATATATACACACACACACACACACACTATCTCCACGAGATCAACTACAATATCCCTAGTGATGATATTATTATTAGTATTTCCAACCAAAAAAATCTGTAATAATGAGATATAATATGCATAAGGTCTGTCATCTCTTTATGTTTGTAACATAGTCATGCGGTATTTGAGGTGCGAAGAAATAAAAAAGCAAAAATCCCATTTCGATCTTAATTAATTATAGAAATGGCATTTTCATTACGGGTCTAATCACGCAGTTACGATGTTTTAATCCCGAGATCAGTGGTTTTATATAGATTTTACTCCTTTCGTTTCATAATATTTCATGTCATAGAAAAAAAATTGATTCAAAATAATTGTCATTTTAGATTTTTTAGGTACTTTTTTAAAAATAAATTCCAATTTTATCTTTATTTAAAACTAATCAATTTTAATAAATTTAATGAATATTAATTATATTTTGATTTTAAATAAGGGCCGGTATACATAATTTTTTTTAACAGTTTCTTAAAATTTGTAAAAAAGGTTAAAACGACAATTATTATAAAAGGGATATAGTATTGTTTTTATTACAAATGATATGATTCCTTAACAATTTATTAATATTTAAATGAGACTGCAATGTATATAGGTGCCGTACGGCTGTTATTCTGAAATAAATAACGGCGGTGGACGTCCATGGAAAAAAAAACATTGCAAAATATACAAATGTATGGACAAAAATATTTAGCCTTAAACACTACTCCAAAGTGCGCAATTAAGGCATAAATCGTGGCTAAGCAACTTTACGAACAAGAATATTCCAAAACTTTTTTATTTTTCTTTTCAATTATACCATTCACAAAAGGGCCCGGGCGGCCCATTTTTTCACCGCTACCCAAGCAGCGAATATTTTCTCGTGTTTATATCGTGCGATAAAGATTAAGATATTGCTTAATAATAATAATAACAGTAATAAATTTTATTATTATTATTATTAGTAGTAGTAGTATATAATATATATACACCAAAAGCCTTTTGGGCCGTTTCCTCCATTGAAGAGCAATAAAGAAGAAGATGAGTCGAGTCGTTGGAAGATTTACGGTGTAGAATTGTTTTTGTATGTTACGATTTTGTAAGGGATGGTTTTTATTTTGAATTTTTTGTTTTAGTTTTAGTTTTTTTTAAAAATTTTATAAATTCGTAAACCCAAAAAATGTAATTTTTGTTTTTTTATTGATTTTTTTCACCAAGATAACTTTACACATTTTTTAAAAAATAGTAATTTTATAAAAATTTGAATGGTAATATTTTGGGTTTTGAATTCTAAAAACTCCAACTATTCAAGTCTAATTCTCTTAAATAAAAGTATTAAATACTTAATTTGACCGGATTTTGAAATATGTTACAATACTAATTTTATTTTGCGAGAGCTAAATCCAATGGCGATCGAGCTTAGAGGCAGATGCATTCTCCGTTTTGAAGTATGACCATTATTTATTCTAATAAAAAACAACCAATATTCAAATATTTTCTTATTTTGATAAATATAATCCCATGTTTTACGGTTGAAGATATCTATTTTCGGTAAATAAACTAAATGATTCACATCCTTTTAAATTTTGAAAGATTCAAATCAATTTGCAAATTTTTTCTCGCATTGATTCAAATATAAAATATAGTTATCTTTACAAATTATGCATCCTGAATCACTCCAAACATTATCAAAATAAATAAAAACACATGATTAAGAGATAATACAAAAAAATTATATATTAGTATAGTTTTATTTTGTTTAACTTTGAAAATAAAGAATCTCGAGTATCTAATATCGCATAGAACTCAACTTTGAAATTAACAAATTTCCAATAATATTTTTCTCAAGTATATCGAACACCGTATCAATATTAAAAGGATTCGAACTTCAATCTTAGTGTTAAAGGATCTAATACTTAACAACCAATTCATTTGGATTATATATCAGTTAAATAGTCCAAATAAGTATGCTATTAAAACGCCATATATACACACAATCATGGGATATACCACTTTAATCCATCCATTAAAGATTGTACGATATCTTACATGATCAAATGGGTCTTGTTTAAAAAAGAAGGGCAATATTGAATGTGGTGGATATGTTACTAACCATGACTATAGAAACATTCTAACATGTATATCATATATAGACATGAATCTAGGGTGATTATATTCATAAACAGACGCGCATCATTCATCCACCGTGAAAATGTCCAAAAGAATGCACGGTCCATATCCAAAGCAACATTTTTCTATTTTATAAAATTAGAAAACCATATGGTACATTTCGGAATCCACTATCTTCTCTTTTCCTTGTTTTTTTTTTCTTTTTTCTTTTTGTTTGGAGTTGGTGTGGGTATGCCTCGGAATATTCAATGACGGTCCAAAAGAAGTGGAGGAATCGAGAATTTCGATAAATCAATCAATTAAAAATTTATTTATTTTATATTTAGGGGGCAAAATGGGAAAATACTTTAATATTGATTTTGGTAGGATTCGGGGATGGTCCTTTCCTTTTAGTGGGAAAAAAACGGTTGCAGAAAAAAAAATGGAAAAAGGAAAATTGAATTTTGGTTGGATTCGGAATCGTCCTGCTAAAGACGGAATCTCCAACTTGCGCGTGAAACGTCTTTTTCAAAATCTCATCGTAGCCGTTGATCTATATCATGGTCCTAGATCCAAGGGCTATAAACGTTTCCGACTCGGACTAGTATAGTTTCACTGGATTGTTCCAAAACACGAGGGGGAATCTCTGACTCTTTTTCAACCTCGTGGGACCACCCTCTGCACCAATAAGACTCCTGCCTCTCCGAATCTTCTCTCAAACCACACAGACACACAGAGAGAGAGAGAGAGAGAGAGAGAGAGAGAGATGGAGAGGACGCTTCAATGGAGGTTCATGCCCCTTCTCGCTCTCATCGCCTCTTTTCTCTGCGTCTTCTTCTCTCCGCGTTCTTACCAGGTCTGGTTTTTTCTCTATCTCGCCCTGTTTCGTCGTGTTCTGTTTCTCTGTCGCGTGGCGTCTTAACCGCCGCAGAAACATGGCGTCTCTGTTTATTCTCTTCCCTTCCACGGTTCTGTTTTTTTGTCTGATGTCTGGTTCGTAATGGTCGCAGGCGACGTTGGAGAGCGGGTGCAGTCTTCTTCCCCACGACCATTACTGGATCTCCAGCAAACGCATCGTCACACCAGATGGTCTCATCTCTGGTGCTGGTACGTAATCTACGGTCTGAACCACTTCCTGTGATGTTAATCATGTCGATCGCTTTCTCTTGAATGTGTGAAAACATGAAGAAAAAAACTGATAAATTATTTAACACAAAAATCTGATAAATGGGTATTAGTACAGAGTAGATCCGAGGTTTTTAGAGTAGAGGAAACCGACAAGTTATTTATTTAAAAATTAGAATCCGATCCATATTCTAATACACTTGAAACAATTTTCGGTTATTCAAGAATATTTTAAAACTTTTAAATTCATATATTATATATAAATGATTTATAAAATCATTGAAAAATATTTATATCCAAAATAAATACATCATGAAATCAGATTTTTTTAACATAAACAAAGAAAAAATAGTTAGATATTGATAGATATATTTATAATTTTTTAATAATTAAAAGTTAAAACAGTTATTTTTTCCGAAAATATAAAATCGAACTCGAATATGAATTTCAAGTTTTAGATATTTAATACGTAGCAAGACGAGTATCCGATTTTTGGATCCGAAATTCGGGTATTTTTGACCATGCCGAGAATGAGAGTAACGATTTTAGATGAAAGATTAGGCTTCAGCAGCATGTGTTCACTGTTGAAGATTGTGAGAAAAATGAGTTTGAATTCATGACATAACGAGTTCTGAACCCGGCAATGGGGCGAGCACAGTGGAGGTGAGAGGAGGGATAATTTCGTCGGTGGTGAAGGAAGAGGACTGGGGGAGGAGGAGGAGGAGCCGGGTCAAAGTGATTGACTATGGAGAAGCTGTCCTCATGCCTGGTCTCATTGACGTGTAAGCAGCTGCAAGTACATTGGTTTCACTTCCCCTGTCTTCGTCTCTGTATCACCGTCTAATCTTTCCGTAAATCTTGGTTTGCAAAAGGCATGCTCATCTCGACGATCCCGGAAAATCCGAATGGGAAGGATTCCCCACCGGAACAAGGGCTGCTGCTGCTGGTATTATCCATGATCCATTCCCCCATCTTCACTCTCTTTTCAGTGATCTGTCCTCTTCAATTGGTTCCTTCTTCTCGAGTTTCTTCTGATTTCTTGAAATCGTTCTTGTCGAAAAGGCGGTGTCACGACATTGATCGACATGCCCTTGAACAGCGTCCCGTCAACTGTATCTCCTGAAACTCTGAAACTCAAGGTAACTGAATTCATGGTCTGTCTCCGAGTCTTTAACATCCCCTACCATGTGTTCTTTTCTTGTATTTCTGAAATCTGGCAATGTATCATACAGATTGAAGCTGCAAAAAAGAGAATACATGTGGACGTTGGTACACATTTTTACAACTAAAACCTCCTCCACTGTTTTCTTTTGTCGTGAAGAACCCAAAAAACGTTGATCTGATAACAAAAAGAAAAAAATTGTCTCTCCTTCAGGTTTCTGGGGAGGTTTGGTCCCTGACAATGCTCTTAATTCAACTGCTCTTGAAGCTCTCTTAGATGCCGGAGTTCTTGGTCTGAAGGTAGATATCTGAGTTATAACTTGGACACTTCTTTTTCAATTTCTGTCATAACGGATGTGCTTTCTTATGTTTCCAAGAACTTTGGAACTCACATGACTTGTCTTGTCTTTTGTCCACAGTCCTTTATGTGTCCTTCAGGAATCAATGATTTCCCAATGACAAACATCAGTCATATAGAGGTCTGTTTGTTGGTCGGCTATGATCAGTCTTCCGGATTTAAAGAACGATGCAATATCACCAAATGACTCTTTCTCCTTCCGTGCTGTTTGTTTATGCAGAAAGGAGTTTCTGTATTGGCAAAATACCGACGCCCACTTCTCGTACATGCAGAGATCCAACAAGAATCTCTTATCGAGGAAGATGGTTCAGACAGTGACCCTCGTTCTTATCTGACTTACCTTAAAACGAGGCCGAGTTCATGGTGAGCCTTTGCTTTCTTTCTTTCCTGTGAACTCCATTTGGATTCCTTGGGAAATAGCTGTGTACCTGAACAAATGACTCAATTGGAATAACTAGGGAAGAGGCAGCGATCAGAGATCTTTTAACTGTTACAGAGAATACGAGGATTGGTGGTTCTGCTGAAGGTGGTCATGTTCATATTGTACATTTGTCCGACGCGGATTCTTCCTTGGCTTTGTTAAAGGTATTATGATCGTTAAGGCCGTCTTCTGCTCGGTTTCCTTCCATGATAAAGCCATTCTTCTTTCTAAAACTGCTACTTTCGTCTGTAATTTTTATTTGGTCGAAGGAAGCAAAAGGCAGAGGGGACAGCCTAAGCTTTGAGACATGTCCACATTATCTAGCTTTCGCATCTGAAGAGATTCCAGAGGGAGATACACGTTTCAAATGCGCCCCTCCGATACGTGATGCAGCCAACCGGGAGAAGTTATGGGAAGCTCTTCTGGTAAAGTCTGGTCTCACATTATTGCGTTCATTCTCCAGTGTTTTTAGCCTTCACTCTCCCTTGATTCGGATCTCTGAATTGGTATTCAGGAAGGAGATATCGATATGTTGAGCTCTGATCATTCTCCTACCAAACCCGAACTTAAACTCCTCAGCGATGGTAACTTCTTGAAAGCATGGGGAGGCATTTCATCATTACAGGTTCGGTCACAACACCGATATATCTATCTTACTCGGTCCCCCTCTCTGCAAAGTTACAAACTTGAGTACATAGTTTTGTCAGAAACAGTCAATGAGTGAAAAAACTGAAATCTTTAGTAGAACATAAAACCAAAACAATAACAGTAGATATTGTGTCCAAATGCAGTTTGTTCTTCCTGTGACGTGGTCTTACGGAAGGAGGCATGGAGTCACTTTCGAGCAGTTAGCCTCTTGGTGGAGCGAGAAGCCATCCAAACTCGCCAGATTACCTTATAAGGTGCCTCATCTATATCCCCGGTTTTGGCATCTTTACCAGTTTCATTGCACTCTTATGTATAATTTGTGCAAAATCTTGATGCAGGGAGCGATCTCGGTTGGGAGACACGCAGATATTGTTGTGTGGGAACCAGAAGTCGAGTTTGATCTCGACAACGATCATCCTGTCCACTTTAAGCATCCTGTATGGATGAAATCACGCATATATCTTTGCGGTTTCTTCGCTGTATTGTCTTAAACGTAACACTGACACATTTCTCTTGTGGGTAATGAGCAGAGCATCTCAGCTTACATGGGAAGAAGGCTGTCTGGCAAAGTGTTGTCCACTTTTGTGAGAGGAAACCTCGTCTATGGAGAAGGCAAGCATGCATCTGATGCTTGTGGTGCTCTGATATTCGCCAAGTGAAGTCGAAGAAACTGCAAATAGTCTTTGCCCCTTAGTTTCAATTGTAAATAACAATCAGGCCAGTCATCGTTGGCATCTGCACAAAGACGAACGATATTTATCCAGTTAGCAAACCTTGTTTTGTAGTTTGTACATTCATCAATCTTAAGGACAAAACCCAGTTGCAGTAATGGTGTTCTTGTTTAAGAATGACAAGCTTCTGTTGTTATTTGTTAGCATATGCCATGATTCTTCTGTTGGGTCCTTGGTCTCGAATACGTTCGAGGTAAAAGGAAGTAGGTATCTGCTGTAAATGTAACTCGGAGAAAGATTGTGAAAACTGAAGCAGCTGAATTCAGAACATACATGTGATGTTTGTCCGGAAGTGAAGCCATCTTATGGGCAGAGGGAATTATAACAGTACCCAAGTATGAATGATATGTTGCAATGCAATTGGCAGTTCCATGTACTTTATCATTAATCAGAATCGGGTTCCATACCAAAAAAAAAGCCCTAATCTTTCTATGCCCAATACCCGTTACTCTTCCTCGTGATTTGCAGAAAAGCGTTGTTGTATCACAAGAGAAGCTTCTCCTCTCTCTCTCTCTCTCTCTCTCTCTCTCTCTCTCTGAGATGGGTGGTTCTGTGAAGGATGTTGCTTCAAAGACGGAGCTTGATAACGTGCGCCAAAGCGGCGCACCGGTTGTCCTCCACTTCTGGGCGTCGTGGTGCGATGCTTCGAAGCAGATGGATCAAGTCTTCTCTCATCTCGCTACCGATTTCCCTCGTGTCCATTTCCTCAGGGTTCGTACCCTTGTTCCGAAATCCGAGTATTTGATTGAGTCTTGGTTTTGCTTTAGAAATTCTGGGTCATGGGTTTTGTTCTCAGGTGGAGGCTGAGGAGCATCCCGACATATCGGATGCTTATTCCGTATCCGCTGTTCCTTTTTTCGTCCTCTTCAAGGTAACATAACATGGTTTCCCCGATTCTTTGGATGAAGTTCACAAGAGACGGGTTTATGATTTAGGGTTTTATCGAGTTGGTTTCGTGGGTGCTCTGTTCTGAGTTTTGATACATGATTCTGGCTTGAGACAGACGAGGAATTATAGGTTGAAAGACAATACTCAGTGTTCATCATGCATGTCAGAACGAGTAGATTCTTCCTTCTTTTAGTTCAACTGCGTTATAAAACCCTTGAAATGTGTACTTTTTGATTCCTGGTCTATTTCTTCTGGTTCCGCTTTCTGTATTTGGACACCATTGTCTTCAAACCCTTGTTTGAATGTTTTGGAGTCTGCTCCAATGTTGAATTTCTGTGGCTGTGGCGTCGGTTGCTGTAAAGAAGGTTATCAAATTTTCTTGACTGAGTTGTTTACTTTTGGCATCTCTCTTGTTCAAGGATGGCAAGAGCGTGGACACACTGGAAGGGGCAGATCCATCCAGTTTGGCCACCAAAGTTGCCAAAGTTGTCAGTCCTTCAACTTCTGCAGAGCCTGCAAGCCTTGGAATGGCGGCAGGGCCAACAGTTCTTGAAACTGTGAAGGAGATTGCGAAAGACACCGGCTCCTTGAAGGCGGAAGATCGAGCCAAGGCTGGACTCACCGACACACTAAAACAATCTCTGGAACGACTTACCAACTCTCACCCTGTCATGTTATTCATGAAAGGTTCCCCTGAAGAGCCTAGGTGCGGGTTTAGCAGGAAGGTGGTCGACATTTTAAAAGAGGAGAAGGTCCAGTTTGGAAGTTTCGACATTCTTTCTGACAACGAGGTGCGTGAGGGTTTGAAAAAATTCTCAAACTGGCCAACGTACCCTCAGCTATACTGCAAAGGGGAGCTTCTGGGTGGATCTGACATAGTGATAGCGATGCACGAGAGTGGTGAACTCGAACAAGTGTTCAGAGATGATGGTATCAGTGCAGCGACTAATGCTGATTCAAAAGGAAATCGGGATGAAGCTGGAAAGGGAGGGATCAGCTCAAACACCACAGGTTTAAGTGAAGCCCTCAGATCTCGGCTCGAGGGTCTGATCAATTCGAACCCAGTTATGCTGTTCATGAAGGGAAAACCAGAACAACCCAGGTGCGGATTTAGCGGAAAAGTGGTTGAAATCCTCAAGCAAGAAAAGGTCGAGTTTGGAAGCTTTGACATACTTTCAGATGATGAAGCTCGTCGAGGACTAAAACTATATTCAAACTGGTCGAGTTACCCTCAGCTCTACGTCAAGGGCGAGCTTATCGGCGGTTCAGACATTGTGTTGGAGATGCAAAAGAGCGGTGAGCTCAAAAGGGTATTAGCAGAGAAGGGGATTCTCGTGGAACAGAGCCTAGAAGACCGGCTTAGGACAGTGATTCACTCTGCAAAAGTGATGCTTTTCATGAAGGGCACTCCGGATTATCCCAAATGTGGATTCAGCTCAAAAGTCGTGAATGCGTTGAGAGAGGAAGGAGTGAGTTTTGGATCATTCGATATCTTGAAAGACGAGGAAGTGAGGCAAGGATTGAAGAGCTTCTCAAACTGGCCGACATTTCCTCAGGTTTATTACAAGGGTGAGCTTGTTGGAGGCTGTGATATAATTATGGAGTTGAGGAACAGTGGGGACCTGAAATCTACTCTTTCTGAATAAGTCTGGTTTTTTGTTTCTTTTTTGGTATGATGAGTTACTGGTGGTGCTTTGTCTTGATCCAATAGTTATGAATGATGGATTTGCCTTTGCACTTTCGTTCTGCTAGACACTGAGAGTGAGAGAGACTCCCAATGCTTGTCATGTTATTTTACTTGAGTTGTAAGAGTTTCATATCAGACCCATGTTGGAAGACCATCACCGTCATCTGTCAAAAGAGGCCCTTTTTGCTTAAAGAAACCAACCATCTTTGTGCCGAAGACTGAGCTGAACATCCACAAGAACATAAAAAAAGTGTTTTTTTTTTATTCTCGCAATTGCTGATATCCCGACAGGAACATTATGGGATTGAATTGGATTCGCCTTCGTGTTTTTTTTGTAGATTTTCTTGGTAGATCCAACGGCTGAAGGGAAATTCTTCTGAAAAATGGTATATTTAGGAAAAGAGATCTCGCAGCCCCACCCACGCGCGACATTTCGCTGATTACAGAAGTTCAAAATAGAAATAACAGGTATCCAGATAAAATATGTACCTTAAATCGTATTCATCTTGATTAAGATCGTTAAAAAAAAGAGTATTTCTTCTTATTTTACATTGAAAAAACAAATGCAAGAGAGTTAAGTGACAAATTACAGAAGGAAGATCTTACAAAGTTGATGAGCATGTATCCTGAAGTTGCTGCCATTTCATTTGCTCCCTTCCCTCCATATCCCACTCTCTGACAACTGCTTCAAAGAGGATTGATTTTTGTAATGTCCTTAGAACTCACGCAGTGGAACCAAACCCCATAATGTTAAGCAATGCCACTGGTTTCTCTCCCACCGGCAAGACAAGGACGAGGATCCTAACCGAGAAGTGTTTTGCCTGGACAAACGTATCATCATGCTCACTTCTTTCCATGGTCTTTGGCGGATTTCACATCTTTTGTAAGCATCCTTGGCGCAATTGCCATCGACATAAGTTCCTGGAACAGCAGCTTGCATGCATATGGAATGTGCACCTGCAACAACACATATGTGCAGTAACAGTAGTGTTACATGATAATTTTACCTATGCTGGAAGAAGAGCAAAAGATGGATAATTTTTACCTGAACAATATCTGTTTTGTTCTTGCAACCTCTACATTCGAACGAATTCTTCTTTAGATTCGCAATGGCGATGAGCCCACAGCATTCACAGACATGTATCCTATATGCATCACTTTGATCAAACAACCTCTCCTTCAGAAAGTGGGCAGCACCATGTGCAATCATACAGTCGCGTTCCATTTCTCCAAAACGGAGACCACCATCACGAGATCGTCCCTCCGCTGGCTGCCTCGTGAGGATCTGGACTGGACCTCGTCCACGAGAGTGGATCTTGTCGTCAACCATGTGCTTCAATCTCTGGTAATATGTTGGTCCAAGGAATATCATAGCTGTGAGTGGTCTGCCTGTGTGACCATTGTACATTCTCTCAAATCCACGCTGTTGGTACCCACATTTATGCAGAGCTCTGCTGATGTTCTCCACCTAGAGAAACAACATGGTTTGAAATTAATCCCTTCCTCAGTTCTAGAAACGAACAGAGCAGATTATGAGTCTAACCCACTTATGCAACTCACCGTGACATCTGTAAAAGGAGTAGCATCTCCTTCCTTGCCCATGTGGGCCGCCACCTTGCCCATGATACACTCAATAAGCTGCCCGATCGTCATACGAGATGGAATGGCATGTGGATTCACGATAATGTCGGGAGTGATGCCTTCAGCGGTCCAGGGCATATCCTCTTGAGTGTAGGTCATGCCAACTGTTCCCTTCTGTCCATGTCTACTACTAAACTTGTCCCCAATCTGAGGAATTCTAACAGATCTTACCCTAACTTTCACAAACCTCAAACCATCTGCATTTGTCGTCAATAATACCTACAAAAAAGATTAGAAGTTTCAGAAGTCCAGCTAAAACAAGGATTTTTTACAGTACGACGCCGAATCCTTCCTAAAAGGAAGATATTAACCAAGCTGCACAGATCCTAAGAGTTATTCACCTGATCCACTATGCCAGTTTCACTATGACGCAAGCTTATGCTGTGATCCCGTCTTGTGTAACGAGACGACTGCCCCTGAGCCTCATCTTGAGATATCGGAGTGGTCTTTCCAATAATTACATCTTCACCCGAAACTCTTGTACCCTAAATCAAAAGAGCCACAGCAGTATGCTTTATCATCAAACATTAATTACTTAGTTAGATCACACAGAACAAAATACAAATAAGAAACCATCCACTTACAGGAGGAGCAAGACCATCATCATCTAACTTATCGTAAGAGCCATGCCGCATTCCCTGTATCAGAAATCTTAAGTATGATATCCCACATCCAAAAGCACAGCACAAACATAACCCAAGTAAATCATATCGCACCATGGTATTAGCTCTATCAGGCCGCCCAAAGTCTTCTTTGACAAGGGTTCCCATCTTTTTCTCCTCATCTCTACCAGAGGGGAAGATTGAAGTGAATGAGTGGAAAGAAAATTGGCAGGAACAATCCAGGAGAAGGCAAATTTCAATTTCTTTTAACTTAAAGAAAATGAATAAAAGAAAAGAGTTCATTTCAAGCAAACAATCCACGATAGTGTTTGCTAATTACCAATAAACATAAGATGGGAACATCATATAGAACTGAACTTTCGGACAGAGAATCTGCACTAGTGTAAGTACCAAAGAAGAAATCAGCTTGTTGACATGCTCACCTGTATGAACGGAAGAACAGAGATCGGAAG